TACATATTCAAATATCATCATTAATATCCACTTATTGGGGCAAATCCCACCAGCTGAACATCGCAGCTTTCAAATAAATGATTGAAATATAGTTAAGAATACTGAACTACTATTTGTTTGTTTGGTAGAAATGGGCAATTCTAGGGCTGAAATGAGCTCCAAATGATTCTAATGAAGATGTGTGGAGTTTAAAAACACACTGGAGCACTTCCTAACCGCATGACATCACAAGTTGGAAGTGTTTAAGAAAATAGAATAATATGGGCCCTTGAACTATTCAACTTGGAACACTAAACCTACTATAACGGCCCTTTCTGCAACTCCACACACTTGTATCCAATCATATAGAATAACAAACATATCTTAGTATTTAATAGACCCCAATTTACAAAAAAAACAAAACAAAAAAAAAAAAAAACCTGTACAATTCAAATAGCAAGCAACATGTCACCGCCCACTCTTCATATAACCGTAGCATTTTTACAACTGCGTCTTAAACATTCATAGTAGACTCATATATTTGCCAGAACAAATCATTCAAATAGAAGGTACATAGTATATTTAAAGGGGTTTTACCAGACGTGGACGTGGTGGCATAAGCCTGGGCCAAGCGTGTCAAATGGTCAACAATAACAAGAATGTATGCAGAACCCCCTCAACTGAGACCAGTTCCAAAGGCTGAGTCATGACTATGTTAGTGAGCGGGGCTCTCGTCTTACGGCTCGGTCTTTTGCTTTTAAGGCACAAACATTTTCTCATGACATAGTCCTCTATTTCGTTTTGCATGAAGGGCAAACAGAAACAGTCCTTTCTGCACCATGGTGGCCCACCTCATCATGCAGTTCCTTTAACACCATTGGCCTGTGCTTTTCAGGGAGTACCAGTTGTGTTCTGTTTGTGGTTTTCCTGTACAAAACACCTCTGTCATTAAACTGTAACTTGTCCCAATCGCTCAAGAGACACACAACCTGTGGTCTAAGCTGTTTCAGTTCTGAACCTGAAGGTTTTGTCTCAGTCAGTTTCTATCTAACGATCTGTCCAATAATAGTATCAGTCTCTTGGTCTTGTTTGATCTGTCCAACAGTGAGTGGAGCTATGGGTGTGCTTATTGACACAGTGGCACACTTGGCTGAGATACCCATAGACCAAGCTGCATTAGACTCACTCTGATGGTCCACGACCTGCATGGCTGCGCTTACAGCGTCATATGACATCTCTTTTGAGCATTCCTCCATGTAAGTCTCCATGTCTAAGGGCATTCTGGATAAACTGTCTGCATCTATGTACCAGGGCAGTACTTTACAGTAAAATGGAAATCGGCAACTTCTGTAACACATCTGCACCCTGTTGCATTCAGTTTAGCAGTTGACAGTATATAAGTAAGCGGGTTATTGTCACTATACACTGTAAAGAAGGGCAAGGCATAGTACAAGTAATCACCAAACTTGTCTGTGATGGCCCATTTAAGAGCTAAGAATTCTAACTTGCCTGAGTGTAAGTTCTAGATTTTCTCGGCTGTGGTGAGTGTTCTTGATCCATAAGCTACCACACACGGATTTTGCCATTTTGCCTTTGATACAAGACAGCGCCTAATCCCTGGCTAGAGGCATCTGTATGTAGGATAAATGGTTGTGAGAAGTCAGGAAAACCTAAAACAGGAGGCTGTACTAAACAGTCAATCAGGAGCTCTAACACTGACTGGGTGTGAATCTCACTTTCTGTAGTACAACCGTAACACTGGGACCCGACTGTCTCTATGGTCACACCATGTCCCGTTGGAGTGACCCCTGCTAGTTTAAAGTACTACCCCTGGCTTGTCTTGCTGGCCTCTGTGCTTTACAGCCTGCCCTAAAATGCTCACCACTTCCACATGTAAAACAGTGCTGACAGAACTCTTCCCCTGTGTGAAAGCAAGAGTAACACCTGGGTGGTGGGCGTGACATAAGGTACCGCTGAGGGGCAAAGCGCTGCTGGAATTTGGTGCCCCCCTCGCTGTTCCCGGGCCTGGGTGATACATCTGAAGAGCTGCTTGGGGGCGCTGGGAGTAGAAGGTCCTGGCAGATGGTTCCACTTAGCACGGTGGGTGTTGCTCCCGGTGTGGTATAGGATTTTGACACCGCGGTAAAGTGACCCCGGGGTCAACATACCATATAGTATAGAAAAAAGAAGATGGCAGAGGCACTCTGATTTGCGGTGAATTTATTCAAAGTCACGCCAACGCGTTTCGACTACTTGGTCTTCATCAGGGCTAATTGAATCAACAGCAGGTGTGATCATTTATAAAGGGTTGCGAACCCAGAA